TATACATATATATATATATATATATATATATATATATATATATATATATATATATATATATATATAATTATATGAATTATGATCTGTACCGTAGATTATGAACGATCTGAGACTTGTTAAAGCCTACGACTGATATTAAATCTGTTCGATCTAAACCCGTAATGGAGGAATCGAATTTCCAAGCCCTTAGCACGAAGAGACGATCTCTGCTTCTACAGCCGGCGACTCTCTCCAAAGATACGATTGCCGACGGTTGGTTGGTGATCGACGCCCCAACACCTCCCCCTTCCGCTCTCTCGATCTCTTCCCTCCTCCCTTTCCCGCTGTGCTTTCCCCACTTCCCTTCTATCATCTCCCTTTCCGAACAACTGACGCTACTCCTTTCACCGGCAACACAACCCCTTTCTTCTTATCCTTTTCCTGTCTTTCTCAGGCAGTCCCTCCCTCCTTCCCTTCCTCAGCCGCCACCGCTTCATAGCTTTACTAACTTGTACTTTGAATGGATTACGTTGCATTTCATCCTTTATTTATGTGCATATAGCGTTCGAGTGTTCTATGTTTGCCAACAACTTTGTATGGACTCTGTTGCCAATAGCTTGGTGGTGGATAGCTTGACCGTCAATAAGCAGATTCGGGTCAAGAACAGTAGCTGTAAGTTTAAAGCATTGATTCCTTTCTGCTCCATCTCTTCTTCTTGCTTGTTTCATCTTAGATCAGATTGGTTGGACTTCAGAGTAGACATGTGTACGGGTGATAGAATGTTTATGAGTGATAGAATGTTTACAATCTTGATGCAATTTAAACTTCTCTAACTGATGGGAGAACTGATATTGTTGTTCTAGAAAACACTTATGTTAGATTTAATAATATGTTCATTAGATCTTAATGTCACTTTGAATGGCATGTGAGAGTATTGATACTACTTGTTTCGAGTGTCTTAGATGTTAATTATACTAGACCATGCTTGATGTTGACTAATGTTGCATTAGATGTTAATACAATATCATTACGCTTGTCTTTCTCTCTGATATTTACTTCTCCATTGGTAATTCGGTGTTCTTGTAAAATGATTTTTATGTTGTGTTGTGACTCTTATGCCCCCTCATGCTGAATTGTTTGATGTCACTGCCATTGCTCCATAAATTTTGTGCACTTTTAATGCATGATACTGTTTTCTATATTTCTAACCTAGTAAGAAGTATTAATCCTTGTTCTCAACATCAACAGAAATTAAGTTGGACTGAATTTTTGTTTTCTAGATCTTTAGCATCGAAAGATAAGTAATTAGTGCACTGTATATCTTCTTGTACACGTTAACATCTTGTATATGTTATGAGGTCTCATTCATCCTCTTCTGCAAGTTGACCGATTAATGCACTGTATATCTTTCTTTGTTCTATTTTTTTGTATATTTTAATGGTTCTTGTTGAACATAGCCTGACATTTTTCTCAAACCACCCGCCATTTTATAGTTTAATGCACTGTATATCAATTAAATGTTATTATAATTAACATAGGATTGCTTGATCCTAAGGTCGAGTTGAAAAAGTATAAAAAAAATCCTAATTGTCTTACTCTTGCCTTTGCCATCAATGGAATACCTTGGAGAAGCGATCAATCCTGCTGTTACTAGATCTCATTCTCTTCATTTTGGAGAAAGCAATGAGCCATCTTGCTGTTGATGAGATTCCTGTAATGGCTTTGTTTCACAAGTTCTGAACGGTGGATTACAGATAAGAGGTAGGATCAAGATCCCCTTAATGGCTTTGTTTCATGAGTCAAGCGTGGATTACCGAGAAGAGGTAGGATCAAGTGAGCAAGTTTATTGAGCAGAATATGATGTCTTGCCTTTTTATTAATATGTTTTGTTCACTGGTTAATTATTTTCTTGGATCGTTATAATTCTCTGCATGTGGTTTCTTTCTTATTTAAAATCATGATTTAGGGTTGCTTCTGAAGCAAAATTGTCTATGAATCTCTTTGGTATTCCACTAGAAACTTCTATATATCAATGGACAGATACAAGCACACCTGAATGCAATCATATGGTTGATGCAAATTGATGTTCTCTTTTCTCTTCAAATTATTGTTACTATATATAAGGAGTTTTAATTGTCGGATGAAGTTTGGATCAAATGGCTGGAATTTGATGATGCTTCTCCCGTTAAACACTTGTTTTATTTGTGTAAAGCCATGATCGTCCATTGCTCTTTGTTGGAGAGCTTTAAGAGCCTAGAATCTGGACAACCTATTGGAACAAGAGTACATTGTTACTAACTCATGTTGGCATGCATTGGATGCTTTGTTTCTCAAATTGCTTGTAAGATGGTATCAAAACTTTATGAAGGCATGCTGATATATGTAGAACTTCTATGACTTCTTCCTGAAATTTTCTACCAATCCATACAGTTAATAGTAAAATAGGTTGCTTTAACTTCAGTTTCAATTTAATACTATTGCTAAGATTTTTTTCGTTTTTATATTTTCATTATTCATCTTAGTGTGCATGAAGATCTATTATTATTTTTTTATAATTTGTTTCTTACTATTCATATTTTATATGGATGAAAAATTTGTATCATGCAATGGGACACGCTTCATGATCCAAAAGTTATGAACTTTTGAAGATGAAGAGGTAAGATTCTTTTATGTTTTAACACACTAAAAAGGAAGAACAAACACATTGGTAGAGAACAATCCAAGAAAATAATGGGCTGGTCACTGGAATTGGTGTTTCTTCTCTGCATCTTATGCCTAATCATTCACTATAAATGGTCATTATTGTTTGTGGACTCTCAAACAAGGTCAGACATCATGTAAGATTTGCTACTTCTTAGTTGCTCATGTTTTATCTCCTTCATGATGTAATTCTAATTGCTGATGATCATGCAGCATATGAATAACCACATTATGGCACTTAATATGATTCTGCATCTTGTAGTCTAAGCTCTTATAATTTCTTTGGTTAAAACAATATGAAGATATACATAAAACCAACAACCTTGATGATGGTCCTTTTAATATTGGAGCATGAAGAAAAATAGAGAACAATAATTATTATGCTAGAATATATAATGTCAAAGTTATATATCAATCGGATGATGCTTTTCTTATTAATATGATCAGCTTTAAGAGAATGCTATAAAGCTGGAGGTTAAGTATAAATTATAATTCAAAGAAACTTAAATTGCATTATTGTACAACCACTAATTTTTTATTAGATGTATAATTTATAGTTTAAAAAATAGAGTAAGGTGGAGATGATTGAGCTGAACAAGTAGAGAATGTTAGAATGGATTCATGCCTAAGGAGAGATTAAAAAAAAGGGACTAAAAGAATAATCTCACATTAATAAATAATGAAAGAATCTAATGATATATATTGAAGTCTAGTATACAAACTAATAACTTTAAGTTTTTTTTATTGAATTGGTGTTTAACTTAATATATGTTAATTCTAACTAGTTTCACTCACACTTATCATTAATGGATTTTTTGAATTGATGTCTGACTCAATGTATGTTATCTTTTTTTTTTCTTAGGAGTTTGGCTTTTTCTTGTATTTAAGGCAGCCCATCTATTTATTATAGTCATGGAATTCACCAAGTAGTAGATAATAATTGCAGTTCAAGTTTCTTTCTATAAGTTTCATTTGGCAATGTTAAATAAACTTCTGAGAAGGTTCAATGGATCCCACTGTTCTATTTCCACCAGGCTGCATGCAATTTAGTTGATCCAACTCGATGGACCAATCATCAATCATCTTGTTAATGTCATTTTGTGATCATCTCCATCTCATACATTTTTAATTAATACATCATTGTATAAAGGAGAGAGCTCGTAGTGTAGCAAAATCCACTTATACGTGTAAGTCCGGAACCTTATTATAGCGGTGTTAATTTGATACCATAGCCAAACTGATAATTCGGAGGTCCCCCAGTGGAGCAGAGAGCCAGAAGCAAAACACAAAAGCAAATATCTGCTACTACATCAGCGGCACAGCACAGCACATGACATGATATTGAGTTTTTTTTGGATCTGATCTACTTGGTGAACTCTATGAGCCAAGCATAAATAGATATGTAAGTGGCTTTGAATCCTACGAAGCCTGCTTCCTTCGCCAGTGCCTCAAACTCTTCCTGTGTCCTCTCTCTTCCTTCAGTGTGCGTCATCATTCCCATGTCCAGTTCAAAGATGCCTTGCGAGTTTGAATATTGCTCCGGACTCATGGGAAGTAGGTATTCCACAAGTATCACCTTCCCTTTCTTTGGAAGTGCCTTCCAACAGTTCTTCAGTATTCTGGCGCACTGCTCGTCAGTCCAGTCATGAAGAATCCACTGCAATTTCATCTCATGTTTTCATATTTTAGTGATGATATGATGCTAAACCTATTGCAAATTGAAGATGATGAGTTCCTCATGAGGGGGGAGGACTACGATGACGATGATGTTCGTGTCATGTGAACATAGATAGCATACGTCTCAAGTTATTTCGAGTGTGTTTGCTTTTATAAGCAAGCTTCAATTGTTGGATATTATGTCTCATGTGATTTCCAAGAGTGTTTTTTTAATAGCTACGATCTCAAACGTCGAAATGTAATTAACAAGTAACCTTCATGAAGATGGCGTCTCCTCCACTCGGAACGCTCTCAAACATGTCGCCACTGACGTGCTCTACACCTGAAGTCGATGCATCCCAAGTATGTTAGTCTACCTACTAGGTAGGTACTGTAATAGTGACACGTGTCATATAAATGGCGGACGACCTGGGTAGGGTGGTGCATCGGATATGACGTGAGGGAGATCGAAGTTGATGCCCTTGATGTGCTGATGCCCCGAGGTGATCATGTGGAGCGTGGCGCCGGTCCCGCCGCCGACGTCGACGAGCACTTTGACGTCGTCGAAGCCGCGGTAGGTCTCCAGCAGTTGCTTGATCAAGATGGTGGAGTGGTTCCTCATGCTGTCATTGAACAACTTGTTGAACCGTGGATCTTTGCCGTGGTGCTCGAACACCGTCATCCCGTGAGCCTTCTTGAACGGGATGCCGCCCTCCAACACCGCATCCTTCAAGCAGTAACTGCGAGCGTTGACCAAACAAAACCAATCAAGTGCCCATTCCTTAATTCTACAAGAAAAGAAAAATACGAGAATGTTGTTGTTGTTGTTGCCTCCTTAGATTACCCGCACTCCATGGTGATCTTATCATTGACCAACAAGGTCAAAGTGGCCATGGACACGCCGTCCTCGTTCCTGGTCAAGTACTTGCAGACAGGCGCCGCACCGTACTTGCACGTGGGGCGGCCATCGACGCCGCTGGCCTCGACAGACCAACTGAGGATGCCGTTGGCGGCGAGCAAGCGGAGCATCCGGTCCACCATATCGGTCGCCTGAGGGTTTTCGGTGGGTAGCCCCGCCGCGATGTCAGCGGGGCTCAGCATGGCGCCGGGGCCGGCCTTGACGATGGTCTCGAGGAGCTCCAGCTCGATGGCTACTTTAAGAGTCAAGGGAAGGCAGTAGCCCAAGGCGAGCCTCATGGCGAACCGGCGCGCTTCCTCCTCCTCCTCTGCCGTCAGCTGCAGCACGTCCTTGGCGGCCTGCATATTGCCAGTTGGAGTGGCTTATAAGTTGGGACACAAAGAAGAGTAACAGAGGAAGGGTATAGTACTTGAATGTGAAACGAGGGAGGCAAGGGTCTATCTTTATACCGTGCAAACCCCTTTCCTACTACAACCTCAATTGAACCCGTACCATTAATTAGATGGCAACCTCGGTCAAGTATAAGATGACGGGCAACACACACTCATCTACGCCTTAATATACATTACATGCAACCCGTGGTGGAAAAATTGTGTTTCGAGGGCATGACAGTGACAGCATGTACTAGATAGACATCGGTATGTTTCTGCATGATGTTTCCCACGAGATATGACATGGAACCAAACCGGGGTTTGGGATCTCCCAAATCCCTCCTCCGAGCAAGCATATTACCAATCCTACCCTTCACCATCATAGCATGGGAATGGTTGAAATTTTCGAACATGAGCCAACACCGTTCCTTGTTAGACGTTAGATGCAATTCGATGAAAAGGTCGAACCATCAAGGCGCCTGAGACTGCAAGCACTACGACCAAGCATTCTCGTTGGTCTACAATTGACAGTCTGATGGCAAAAGGACCATCTTGTGATGACCCCATACACCGTCTCTCGAAAATGACTTCACCTCAGGAGCTGCCGACATAAATATTTCAGGCTTTGTTTTGGATAAAGAACACGCAAACATTTCAGCATTTAATGATGCGTAATTACAAGTATAATGATTTGTATGATACATGCTGCAATCCTGTCTACTTGCTGAGCATAAAGAAGAACACAGGGTATTCCATTAGATCATCACCTCCAACTAGGAATACTTATCCTCCTCAAGATGACTGCCTTCACAAAATTGCATGGTTTGGAAAAGTAACACGTTTATCAAAGTCAGAATCCCCAAATTTATTCCTATAGTGTTTGGGTAAAGATACAATAATATTTATCTAATGTATGAATCGTCATCCAATCCGAAAGATACAATAATATTAATATACAATAAGAACTATACTCGTTTTCTCTTCTTTATAATGATAATACTAATAAGATTGCAAAGTCTTTAATATATATTTTTATTTTATTTTTTTATTCTATACCATGCTCATGTAGATTGATTCGTTTTTATTTAAATTATTTTAGGAAAACGAGCCCTTTTTTATTCTTTTTCTTAGACATAAAACCCAACAAAGAAAAGCACATATTTCAAATTATAAAAAAAAAATGATTAATTAGCGAGTTTGAAGAGCCAAAAACATTTAATGTATGGATATTGTTGAAGTGATGACATCTCTAATGATTAATTAGCGAGGTATTAGTGAACATGCATAATATGATTAAAATATAACCTAAATTTTTAGTACAGACATATTCTTTATGATTGCAGTGATTCGAGGACTTGAGGTTAGGAAATATTTTTTAGGATTCATCTTAGTTAGTGTTGTCTATTGCTAGACATGGTATGTAACGAACATTTGCTTCCATATTGCAATTGATGTTATGATTTTTGTCTAACATGATCTATAAACTTGTTGGTCTTTACTAGTTTTCCAACCAAAGTTTCTATATAATATAATCACGGCGTCATGAGGAGTATTCTACTTGTGGTCTACACTAACGTGGGTTACACCTGTTATTATCTAATTGGTTCCACTAGTCATCACTGTCTCATGTTCTTTAAGACGCAAATAATTATCTGCTTCGGGAGACTTGTACAGTATTCCTGTTTCGAAGTCGTCCCCAAAAGATGCCTTGACATTGGAGTCACTATTGACTCCCTATGATACATCGACTGTTTGGTTTTATTATAGCCCCTTAGTTGGGGAGCTACTACCCCTTCAGATCATTAATAATGTATTTTGATTGTGCATTCACTCAATCATAAGAAAAAACCATCTAAGAAAAATCAATACGTCCGATTTTACATACGCATCCATTTGTGATTAAAAAAAAATCACTATGTTCAATGCGATCAGAGCATTTTCATCATTCACTCATGAAAAAGAAAAGTATTTGATATGTCGAACATAATTAGAGCATTTTTACTACACACAATGCATCCGCTCACGAAAGGAAAAAAAAAAAAACATTTGGATAGAGTGTGTATTATTTATCTTTGATATTGATATCTACTAATTGATCGGCAAGCTTAAAAATTTTATCAAAACGCAATGACCTTTGCAACTAACTTCATACGATCTACTATTCTTTTGGCAGAATTTTCTATGATCATGCACTTTCAATTATTTATAGAGAAATAGAATTAAGACTAAAGACCAAACTCCTAACACAGACTTGAACTTAACTCCAAAACCTATTCAAGTGTTTTGTGCACAACCGATTCACGAAGGTTCAAATATAAAACCATTTTTGAGTTACTCTCCATCTATGATGATGACATGACGAAGCATATGGTGTGACTATTAGATTTCGACGGGGTTGGTGAGTGCTTCCACACATATAAATCTCGTCGCAAACATCACTCCCTTCTTTATCGATCTAAATTAGTTCAAATGTTTCTCCTACGTTTCCGCCTCCAGCCTCATCTCCTTGTGACATGGAATCTACTAATGGATTCGTTCAATAGCTGACCTCCGAGGAAACAAAGGAAGCACATAGATATTGATTATATGATCTTATATATATTATAGATCTAAATAAATTATTAGTATCGATCAATAGAATAAAAGTATAATTATAGTATGATTCCTTAGAAGATAATCTTGATGGGAGGAACTCTTATAATTATCTTTTTTTATATCCTTTACTCTTGCCTGTATATAGGTTAAGACTTTTTAGAAATCATATAATGATCATAGAGATTTCTTCTATCACTTCCCGATAGGTTCCTACTCCATTAATTATAGTAGCCTTGAAAATATTAAAATAGGAGGAGAGTCTAGTTTCTTCCTATACAGATTCATGATGCATGCAAATCACATTGTATTGCTTTATGATATCCAAGGTACTCTTTTAATTATCGTGTTTCAAAAATATATACCTTCTGTCTTAGATCTACTATACTTGATCTCAATGATAATATTAAATTTTTTATATAATAATTTTATTTCTTATAATTGATATCAGATTTATGCCATTGAAATCTAAGTTAACGTAGATCTATTTTTAATCTATTCGTGCATTAGATCTATTTGGTATAATATTTATTATTATTATTATTATCATATTTCACTTCGTGTTTCTAATCTGATTATGTGATGCTAGCCTCACGCGATATATTTATATTTGTTTTCATACGACTCATTTGAGTATGCAACTGTGTTCCCTCACTTCTCTGTTCTTTTATTTGATTATTGTCATTACAAGGTTCCCCAAGGGAAATTGCAAATGAGAGACATTGCTGTTTTGGTCGATGGACCACCATCGACAGTTTATTATTGGCGATGGTGACCCACTGTGGTCGTTGACCTTATCTAAGGGCTGCTGCTGTGTAGTGGTTGTCCACAGTGATGATGCAAAAGTGCAACTATTGTATTGAGGGTGGCAGTCGCAAGCCCTACGGTGGGCAGTATTGCAGAAACAGTGATAGTGCTGTGTGCAATGAAATAGGGGTGTGATAGTCGATAACGGTCATCGGAGGTCTCACGATAGTAGCCCGAGTAAGAGCTGCGGACTGCGCATGACAGCGCGATGCCAGACATCGTGATGTGGCGTCAAAGGCAACATCGTCAGTGGTCGCTTGGGTGGAGGCGATACTGGGCAGTCACTCGCTGTTAGTCTGGGCCAACAGTCACAAAACGCCGACCGTTGTGGCGATGGTTGCATCGCGCACTACGTTGGATGCGGTAGCACTTGTACAAGTGAAGGGCAATAGGGGCTATACCAAGGGAACTGACATATGGACCAAAGACGTCAAGATGCGGTAGTGTGGAGGTTGTGCGGTAGTGGCGGCTGGTGGGCTTTATCGCTAGCTGGCTACGGGTGGAACCTTAACTTGGGGTTGCGATGTTGCGTTATCAACAAAGGTAGAGAGAGGTAGGCCGTCAATGAGTGGTCGCTCGGGTCATGGGCGGTGGGTGGTAGTGACAACGACATAGGTAGGCTACGGTGAACAACGGATGATGGTGTTGTGTCGTAGTGAGGTGGCCGTGCACGATAGCGATGTCACGGTGATGAATCACGCTGCATCGTGACATCAAATGGTTCACAAATAGATGTGAATCGTTTGAAAATAATATTTCTAAATAAAATTCTAGAGAAAAAAAAGTATATACAGATTAACCTAAACGATTCAACAAAAAAAAAAAAAAAGAAATATAAAATTTAGTATACAAATTTAGGAAATCGATTTATGACCGTAAACAAGCTTCTAGACAATGATATATAAAGTTTTATGATACCATTATTTCTTTTAAATTAAAAAATATTATTGATTAATATTTATATGTAAAAATTAGTGAGAGCAAGCTTATTATATTAATCTTGTACGTGCATGATACTTTACTTATCAATAATGATCTTGGTTTATCGTATGAAACCAAAAATTTTTTTATCAAGAATTTTAATATGATTAATATAATTGAAACAACTTATCTTATTAATATAAAGATATTTAAGGATATATCTCAATAATTATTATTACTATCTCATAAAAGATTCATTAATTGAGTTTTGGAGAGATTTAGTATATAACTTTATTCAATAAATAAGATAGATGCAAGATTTAATCAAAATCAATGTTTTCTAAAATAGATTTGGAAAAGAATAAATAAAAAAATATTCCTTATGTATACGTAATTGGAGGTATATTATATACCCAAGTTTATATTAGACTAGAGATTAGTTTTGCAATTAAAATACTCGATAGATACTAGAGTTATCTAGAAATAAAATATTAGAAAGTTATGAAGAAAGTAAAAAACGACGAAAGACTATATGTTCACATATTAAAAATTAAATTAGCTTAAAATAATAATATTTTCATATACCAGTTTTGTAAATTACCTTGATGGTAGGAAGTCCATTTTATGATTTATGTTTACTTTAGCGGGAGAGGTAGTTTACAAAAATAATATAATGCAAATTGAATTATCAATA